TGTATTTATGTCACTGGGATGTCAGTGGCAGTTAGTCAGTTCCCCCCCAGTGTCAGAATGCCCACCGCAGTCCCGCTATAAGTTTAAAAAAAGTAAAAAATTCCAGTAAACATACCACCATTTGTAGACACTAGAACTTTCACGTAAACCAATTCATTTACATGTATTGGGATTTTTTTTTTTTTTTTTAGCAAAGACATGTAGCAGAATACATTTTGGCCTAAAATTTATGACAAAATTTGGTTTAAATTTTTTTATTGGATATGTTGTATAATCAAAGTCAAAAATATCGTTTTTTAAAAAAATTGTTGGGCCTTTTTTGTTTATAGTGCAAAAAAAACCAAAACAAAAACAAAAAAAAACCACAGATGATCAAATACCACTGAAAGAAAGCTCTATTTGTGGAGAAAAAAAAAAAAAGACATAAAAATTTAATTTGGGTGCAGAGTTGCATGACAGCATCATTTGGCGGTATGATTCTTTCCGATTTTCTGTGCTGAAAGTGGTACCATTTTTTTTGCATGGAAATATGTAGTTTTTTATTGTAGGCCGTAATTTTAGGAATAACTCACTGAAATCTGTACGAACAAGAGTCTAGTAAACATTCCGGATAGGATAAAACTTGAAACATGAAATCATAAATTATAATTTAATAAATAATCGTAAAAAATAATAATATAATAATAATAAAATTTAATTCAATAATATAATCAAACCAAAAACACCGAAATTTGAAATACAGAGGCAAATTCGCACATCGCTGAGCAAAGTCGCAAAATCGTTTTCAGTGTCTGATGACGAATTTCCCCACAATCATTATCACTCAATTCTGCAAGTGGTTCTGATTTACTATCGCTGTTCTAAAACCGCTTTTGACGTAAAGGGACGCTTTTTGGACGCCATGGACTTTTCTAAGTTTCCAGGCAGAAAGAATAGTCAAAATGCAGGCAGGGCACAGGACAAAGCAGTAGGGACAAAATATATGTGAAATGCATTGAAACAGCAATGACAGCAAAAATGACATTTTTATAAAAAATTTCTAATTTCCCGCCGGTTCCGGCGCCCGTACGTCCCGACGTCACAGGGACTGGAACACAGAAGCCGGATGCCGGCATCGGCCAGAGGAGATGGCCGGGGACGCTGCAGGGGACACATCGCGGGAGCAAAGGACAAGGTAAGTGCTGCAGGGACCCCCTGAGCAACGCCGCATGGTAAGCCCGAGTGTAGCTCGGGGTTACCGCTCTTGGTATAGAAATTTTACCCCGAGCTACACTCGGGAAAACCGCTAAGGAGGTTAAAGTAGCACAGTGCCGTATCGCAAAAAAATAGCCTGGTCAGGAAGGGGGGTAAATGCTCTGGAGGGCAAGTGATTATTGGGCTTTTAAATAAGCAGTGTAGCCTTTGTAGACCACCAAGAAAATGAAAAAAGTTCATTTTGGAAACATAAAACCAGTTTTACCTCTTTATGTCCCAGTGATCTAACCAGTACAGCAGTAACATAGATTACACAATGGTTTTCCAGAAGTCAGGACTTCATGTACAGAGAGGTAGGGTGGTGAAGAACAGCATCTGTATGATCAGTGTTTGTGTGTAAACATGAGAAGCAAGACTATCTGTCACCAATGCCACGCCCGCTGCGCTGTGTACACTGTACACATCCACATGAAGTCTCAACTGTTTACTGTAAGCGGAGATGCTCCCAGCACAGATTCAAATATTCAGGCTAAAGGTGCTCATAGACATCAGTTGACTGACACCGCTACCCCCCATCTAGACATTTTTGACCAGATTGGGCAATGGCGTAAAGTTTATGGGAGGTACATAACACGTGCTCTCTTGTTTGGGGAAGTAACTAGCGCAGGAAAGTATCAAGCATGCATGCCCAACCAGGCAATAATATCTACGATCAGCTTTATTCAATAGTAGAGGCAAAGTACTGAGTGCAAAGTCCATAGCAATCCCATAGCAATCAGAATTATTTGTGTACAGGTGTGGCTTCAGTAAAGGTTGTTCTGATTTTTTTTTTTTCTTTTTATGACACTATACTCAATCTACTTATTTGCAACTTGCATATTAACAAACGTGTAAACACAAAAGGAAAGGATCAAGATGTATTCACAGAGCCACACAACAAATGTATAAAAAATAAAAAAATATTTTGAAATAGTGTATTTGCAATGATAGGACTCTCATTGCATCAAGAATAGTCTGAAAGAACTTATATCAACAAGTTACATTTCAAACAAGAAAAAAAAAAAACCCAGTAACATTACCCTACCTAAAATTAATTGATGTACAAAATGAGGTAAGTGCAGCTGTAAAGCACCAGTGGCAGCTAGAATATAAATAAAAAGAAAAAAAAAACCCCAGCAATATTGGACCCCACTATACTTGAAAGACTTGAACCAGAAAAATGGAATAAAAAAAAAAAACCGGAACACAAACTGAAAAAAAAAGAAAAAAAAAAATTAAAATGAAATGTAAAATTAACCAAAAAACAAACAAACAAAAAAAATCAAAGGAAAAACCTGGAAAGCAAAAAAAAAAACCCAACACAAAACAAAATTAACGGTTCACTACCACCCTATAGCAGAACTACTGCTACAGGGCGGCAGGGCTGCGCTAAATCACACCCTACCCGCAGTTACAGCTGTTGATTACTGGGTCCTGGCCAGATATTCCCTGCCGACCTCGGCGATCGCCAAGGAACAGTAACAGAGGAGAGGTACGTGTATAAACACAGATCTCTCCGTCAGCACCGACATGCTGCTTTGTATTGCAGAGTATAACAGAACAGAATAAAAAAAATTAAAGGAAGAGAAATGAATAGAAAATAAAAGAATAGAATAAAATAGAATATAACCGTCTTTAGAAATATGAATAAAATACATTTGAATAGAATAGATTAAAATGGAATAGAAAAAGAATAGAATGAATAGAACAGAAAAGAAGAATGGAAAGAAGAATAGATAATAGAATAGATAAAACAGTAGAATATAATGAATATACAGCAACTATCTTCTGAAATTTGAATAGAATACATTAGAATAGAAAATAGTAGAATAGAATATAACCGGCTTTCAAAATTCAAATTTCAAATATAATTAATTTGAATAGAATAGAAAAGAATAGCATAGAGTAAAACAGAACAGAAAATAGAATAGAATAGAAATACTATAACCATCTCTTGAAATTTAAATTTCGAATAGAATACATTCAAATAGCATAGATTAGAATAAAAAAGAATATGAAAAAATAGAATAAATTAGAATAGAATCATCTTCTGAAATTTGAACAGAATGAATTCAAATTTGAATAGATTAGAATAGGAATGAATAGAATTGAAACAATAGAATATAATAAAATAGAAAGAATATAACATTCAAAATTAGGACAGAATAATTTTGACTAAAATAGAATAGAATAGGATAAAATAGAAAATAAAAGAATAGGACAAAATGGAAAGAATATAACCGTCTTCTGAAATTCACATAGAATAAATTCAAATACAATAGAAAATAACAGAATAGAACAGAAAAAAAACAAACAATAGAATAAAAATTCATAGAATACAACCATCTTCTGAAATTTGAATAGAATACATTTGAATTCAAATAGATTAGAACTGAAAAGAATAGAATAGAATATAACAGAAAATAAAAAAGATAGTACTTTGGACATGAGCATTTTACATAGTTAGTCTGGCTTAAAAAAGACAAAAGTCCATCCAGTTCAACCATAAAAAAAAAAAAAAAAAAAAGTTATAATTATACCCACAGTTGATCCAGAGGAAGGCAAAAAAAACCCAGGAAAGCATGATCCAATTTGCTCTTGCAGGGGAAACAATTCCTTCCTGATCCCCCGAGAGGCAATCAGATATTCCCTGGATCAACTTTACCTATAAATGTTAAATGTTAGTATCCAGTTATATTCTTTGTTCCTAGGAAAGAATCCAGGCATTTTTTTTAAAGCAATCCACTGAGCTGGCCAGAACCAACTCTTGAGGGAGTCTATTCCACATTTTCACAGCTCTCACTGTGAAGAAACCTTTCCGTGTTTGTAGATTACATTTCCTTTGCTCCAGACGTAAAGAGTGCCCCCTTGTCCTCTGTGATGACCTCAGGGTGAATAGCTCTACACCGAGTTCACTATATGAACCACTGATGTATTTATACATGTTGATCATATCCCCCCTTAATCTCCTCTTCTCAAGAGAGAATAAATTCAGTTCCTCTAATCTTTCCTCATAGCTGAGCTCCTCCATGCCTCTTATCAGTTTGGTTGCCCTTCTCTGCACTTTCTCCAGTTCCCCAATGTTCTTTTTGTGAATTGGTGCCCAAAACTGAACTGCATATTCCAGATGAGGTGTTACTAATGATTTGTACCGGGGTAATATGATATCTCTCTCTCTGGAGTCTATACCTCTTAATACAAGAGAGGATTTTGTTTGCTTTAGAAACTGCAGCTTGGAATTGCATGCCATTATTATTGTGATCTACCAGAACTCCCAGATCCTTCTCCACCATGGATTCCCCCAGTTGTACCCCCCTAGTATGTATGATGGATGCATATTCTTAGCCCCCAAGTGCATAACCTTACATTTATCAACATTAAACCTCATTTGCCACATAGTTGCCCAATTAAACAGTGCATTGAGGTCGGCTTGTAAATTGGAGACATCCTGTAAGGACGTTATTCCACTGCACAGCTTGGTGTCATCTGCAAAGACTGAAATGGGATTTTTAATTCCAGACCCTATATTGTTTATAAATATATTAAAAAGTAAGGGTCCCAACACTGAACCTTGGGGTACACCACTGACAACCCTAGACCATTCAGAGTATGAATCATTAACCACTACTCACCAATACAATCTTTTAGCCAGTTTTCTATCCATTACATATGGATTTTTCCAAGCCTGTAGACTTTACCTTACACATTAGCTGTGTGTGGGGAACTGTGTCAAACGTTTTGCAAAATCCAAGTATACTACGTCCACCGCCACCCCTCTGTCCAAGTATACCACATCCACCACCACCCCTCTGTCCAAGTATACCACGTCCACCGCCACCCATCTGTCCAAGTATACCACGTCCACCGCCACCCCTCTGTCCAAGTATACCACGTCCACCGCCACCCCTCTGTCCAAGTATACCACATCCACCGCCACCCCTCTGTCCAAGTATACCACATCCACCTGCCACCCCTCTGTCCAAGTATACCACATCCACCTGCCACCCCTCTGTCCAAGTATACCACGTCCACCGCCACCCCTCTGTCCAAGTATACCACGTCCACCGCCACCCCTCTGTCCAAGTATACCACGTCCGCCGTCACCCCTATGTCCAAGTATACCACGTCCAGGGGCGGACTGACCATTTGGAAACTCGGGCACTGCCGAGGGCCCAGGGTGAGTAGGGGGCCCCATGAGATGCCCCTGGTACCTTTTTCTTAGGCTTTTTTGAGTTTGGGCAAGGACACAGGGGCCCCATGATCCCCTATTGTCTGGGGGCCCCATGACCACGTCTACCGCCACCCCTCTGTCCAAGTATACCACATCCACCGCCACCCCTCTGTCCAAGTATACCACGTCCACCACCACCCCTCTGTCCAAGGTTTTGCTCACCTCCTCATAAAATGAAATCAGATTTGTTTGACAACTTCTGTCTTTCATGAATCCATGCTCTCTGTTGCTTAAAATATTTTTTTCCAGCAAGAACTCATCTATGTGGTCTTTTATTAAACTCTCCAGTATCTTCCCAACTATAGAAGTTAAACTAACAGGTCTATAATTACTTGGTAAAGATTTTGACCCCTTGATATAGAAGATAAAAGAATGAAATAGAAAAAAAAGAATGGAATAGAATTAATCAGAAATAATATACAGTTGTGCTCAAAAGTTTTTCATACCCTGGCAGAAATTGTGAAATTTTGGCATTGATATTGAAAATATGAATGATCATGCCAAAAAATGCTCTTTTATTGAAGGATGATGATCATATGAAGCCATTTATTATCAAATAGTTGTTTGGCTCCTTTTTAAATCATAATAACAGAAATCACCCAAATGGCCATGATCAAAAGTCCCCTGGAATGTTTGGCCTTGGTACAGACACACAAGGGTTAAAATGCCAATTAGAGGTTAATGTCCCACATCTGTGGCTTTTTAAATTGCAATTAGTGTCTGTGTATAAGTAGTCAATGAGTTTGTTAGCTCTTACATGGAAGCACTGACTAGGCTAGATACTGAGCCATGGTGATGAGAAAAGAACTGTCAAAAGTCCTGCATAACAAGGTAATAAAACTTTATAAAGATGGAAAAGGACATAAAAAGATGTCCAAAGCTTTACACCACTGCTTTACACCACTGCATCCGACGCTTTGCATTGCACTTGGTGATATAAGACTTGGATGCAGCTGCTCGGCCATGGAAACCCATTCCATGAAGCTCTCTATGCACTGTTGTGTGTAGGGAAGATGGCATGTCCTTACTCATCTGGAACCTCTTCCAACTGCTATTACTTTTCCTGACAGGTGACCTGTCCCTACAAAAGTGCACGCCAAGCCTAGGAGCCAGGGTCCTAAATAGACTCTTCCTGACCCAAGATGGCCACCAGACTCACATGGGATGGCAGCATCCAAGCAAAAGTAAAGAACAATGCATAGCAAAAAAAAACAAAAACAACCCCCCCCCCCCAAAACACTATGTCCTATATTTAATGTTAGTTCTGTTAGTGAAAATGTTGTTGCTAGTGGGGAATCTATTTTTTAACATTTTTTCAAATGTTGCTGGAGGGTCTATTGTTGCTGATGAGGAATCTATTGTTGTTGGGGGTTCAATTGTTGCTGAGAGGGATCTACTGTTGAAGTAGAGGTCTATTGATGATGATTCCTGAGAGATCTGTTGTTACTGCTGGGGGTCTACAGTTGCTAGGTTGGATCTATGGGGTGGTATCTTGTTGTCGGGGGGTTCTATTGTTACTGGAGGGGTTTTATGCAATGAGGGAGCTATTGTTACTGGAGGGGTCTGTTGTTCCTGGATGAAGGGGATCTATTTTTATTACTCCTCTTGTTATCATTAACAAATTCCATATTAATTACTAAGCAGCACAAAATGAAACTTTGTTCTGTATTTTCTAAAAGGGGTAGTACTAGGAGATGGGTAGGGGGTGGAAACAAGGGGCGGTGCTCAGAAAAGGGGAGTTCCTTCACTTATTCTCTGCGAAAAAAAGCCTTGCTTGTAAGTATATAATGAATATTATTTACCTGTAAAATCTTCCTTTGTGTAGGCACTCAAAAGCCCTGAGACTGTTGCTGGGCGCTACCATGCTGGATGTGATGATAGAAGCCCTAAAAAACTCAAGTGACATTCTTTAGTATTCAACTTTGCTCCTCCCATGGCAGCTACATAAAAGGTTTATGTAGGGAGGTGAGGGCAGGGGTGGAGGAGCTGGGCCAGCACAGACAGCATTAGACATTTCTAAAAGAGGAGAGGGCTATGACATGCAATGTGTGAGAGGGAGGATTTTGGGCTTGTGAACTGACTATCTTGAGATTGTCAACTTTTCTATCAGGTTCAAGGGCACTCACAAGCAAATAAATAAAATAAATTTAAGGAAAATACTGAAAGTAAGCTGTTTACATAGTTGATTTTTCTGTAATTTTATTGCCTTTAAGTTGGTGACAGGGTCTGCTGAAGAAGCAACTTGAGCGGGGGCGGACTGACCATTTAGGCACTCGGGCACTGGCCGAGGGCCCGGAGTCAGTAAGGGGCCCCATGAGATGCCCCTGGTACCTTGAATAGGCTTCTTTGGGTGTGGTTTGAGTGTGGGCAAGAACACAGGGGCCCCATGATTCCCTATTGCCCGGGGGCCCCATGAGTTGTCAGTCCGCCCCTGAACTTGAGTGTTGATGTTCCCCCAAAAGCAATGATGGGATTGTGCACAGTGCAGAAAAATAACTTCTATGTACAGTGGCTAAATGGTTAGCACTTCTGCCTGGCAGTATTAGGGTTGTCGGTTCAAATCCCAATCATGGCACCACCTGCCTGGAGTTTCAATGTTCTTCCTGTGCCTGTGTGGGTTTCCTCTGGGTACTCCAGTTTCCTCCAACACTCCAAAGACATGCTGGTAGGCCAATTGGCTCCTGTCTAAATTGGCCCTAGTATGTGTATGTATGGATTTGAGTTAGGGACCTTAAATTTTGATGTGTTTTGCATTTTTAATCTGCTCAGCAACAAGCTGGCTTAAAAAAAAAAAAAAAATAAACCATAAAGATGCAAATTGCATAAAAAAAGTGCAAAAATGCAAAACACACCACACAAAGCACTGCAGAAGCAGATCAAACGCACACTGCATAGGTCTTAACCTAGCCCTAATGTCCAAGGGTCCTCCACACTTCCAGTTTTCATTAATTGTTTTCCGACCGCCCTATAGAAGAAGTACTGCTAGAGGGCGGCACAGATGTGCAAAATCACGTATATATACACATGATTTTGGATTTCCAAGTAGGGGGCGCACGTGCATGCTCTCCCTACCCGCATGGCTATTGGCTCCTTGGCATGTCAATCACCGGGTCCCGGACGCTAATTCTTGTCTGAGACTCGGTGATCGTTGGCAGAGCTGGCAGGGGAGAGGTCTGTATGAAAACAATACAGATTTCTCCCCTGTCAGCACGAACAGGCTACTTTATATTGCACTGCACAGCAGTTATACTTACCTGCTTTGTGTAGTGGTTTTGCACAGAGCAGCTCCAATCCACTTCTGGGGTCCCCCACCGATGCTAATTGCCCCTACTCCCTGCTGAGTGCCCCCATAGTAAGCTACTTGCTCTGGGGGCACCTGTGCATGCTTGCTCCCTAGCTGGCTCTAGCCACATAGTGTGGCTTGGCCCCACTCACTCTCTCTCCTCACTGGCTGTGATTGACAGCAGGAGGAGCCAATGACTCCTACTGCTGCCTGTCTCTGGAGTGAGAGAGCAGCTGTTTTCTTGCACATCGTTGAATCAAAACAGGGAAGGTCTCAGTATTTAGGGGGGCTGCTTGCAGAAGGCTTTTCCTTTTACCTTGATGCATAGAATTAATTAGAGTAAAAATCCTTCTGCTTTTAGAACTACTTTAATGTGTTTGAATATGGTATTGTATTTTATACAAATTTCCCTTAATCATTTGCACATTCATTTCGTATACAGTCATGGCCAAAAATATTGGCACCCCTGCATTTCTGTCAGATAATGTAGCACTTCGCCCAGAAAATTGTTGCAATCACAAATGTTTCGGCATTCTCATGTTTATTTCTTTTGTCTGTATTGGTATGACACAACAAAAAGGGGAGAAACAAAAAGCCATATATGACACATTCCACACAAAACCCCAAAAAATGGACTGTACAAAATTATTTGCACCCTTAATTTACTATTTGGTAGCACACTGCTTGGAAAAAATAACTGAAATCAGTGGTTTCCTGTAACCATCAATGAGTTTCTTACACCTCTCCTGGAATTTTGGAGCACTCTTCTTTGGCCAACTGCTCCAGGTCTCTCAGATTGGAAGGGTTCCCTTTCCCAACTGCTGTTCTGAGATCCCTCCACAGTTGCTCTATGGGATTGAGATCTGGACTCATTGCTGGCCAGTTCAGTACTCTCCAGCACTTTGTCCTAAACCATTTCTGGGTGTTTCTTGACGTGTGCTTTGGGTCATTGTCCTGTTGTAAGACCCATGGCCTCTGACAGAGACCCAACTTTCTGACACTGGGCCCTTCATTGCACCCCTAAATTCTTTGGTAGTCTTCAGATTTCATAATGCCATGCACACGGTCAAGACATCCAGTGCCTGAAGCAGCAAAGCAACCCAAAATATCAGTGAACCCCCACCACGTTTGACCGTAGGGACTGGATTCTTTTCTTTAAAGGCCTCATTGCTTTTTCTGAAAGCATTCTCCCAAAAGGAGTTTGGCTTCCCCAGGTAAGTTTTGGCAAATTCCAATCTGTCTATTGTATGTTTCGGTGTCAGCAGTGGGGTCCTCCTGGGTTTCCTACCATAGTGCCCCTTTTCATTTAGATTGTGACATATGGTGCAAGCTGACACAGTTGTACCCTGTGCCTGAAGGTCAGCTTGAATTTGTCTGGAAGTTGATCGAGGCTCTTTATCCACCATTTGAATAATCCTTTGTTGCAACCTTTGAACAAGTTTTTCTCTTTTGTTCACATCCATGGGACCTGAGCAGTCCCTCCACAAGTGGTGCTTGGGCAAGAGGATTCACGTGTCATCTTGGCTTTCACAGTCAGGTATATGACAATGAGCCCCCAATCTATTCTGTAGGCAGACTGGTCTTTAAGTGGTACATCCACAATAAACATAAATACAGGGTGAAGTTATATAAACTTTGGGAGGGTACACGTATGACTTCTGCACTTACGAATGGAAATATAGCTGTCTTTCATCCACGAAGACACTAAAGTGGAAATCAAGGGGAGGCAGTTTGATCCAAAAACCTCTTTGTGTATATGACTACAAATCAATTCATGGGAGGTGTGGGATTATAATGACCAAAAGGATGAAGCCCTTCATGGCAACCAGAAGATCCATTGACTGGTAAAAAAAGAAAAAAACAAATGTCCATCTATCTGTTCTAAATGGCCATTTACAACTCCTACGATGTCTACAGGGCCACAGGAAAACCTGAAACCTTCCTAAACTACCAAGAAGAGATAACTGCC